CAGCCCAGATTCTCAGTCCCACCCCATCACCAGCTCCATCCCATCACCAGCCCCATGTCCCCCCCTTCCAACTTGATCCTATTCAAGCCCCCATCACCCACCAAGGCCCCTGTTGCCACCCCAGGATGCCCATCACCCACCCGGCCTCCTGCCCGCCTAGCCTGGTTTAGGGGACAGTGCTCAGGATGCACCCACCCCCCTAAACCAGCCACCCCTCAGCCCCTTTTCCTGATTACCTCTGGGAGCCAATGCAGACAACTTCTCCAGAGCATCTGATCGTGTCTCACCCAACCTCCACGCCAGGAGGCTGCAAACCAGCAGCACCAGGAACTTCATGCAGCTGCCTGGGTTGGAGGGAACCAGCCCCCCCCAGCTCCACAGTGAGGATTTGGGAGAGACAAGCCACCTGTCAGCAGCGCTGGTGTTGGGGCGAGCTCAGCCACATGCTCCTGTGCACTCCTGCATGCTTGTGTGTGTGTCTGGTTGCAGGATTTGATCCTATTCAGGACTCAGGCACCACTGGTCAGCTCAAACAAAAGCTTGATGGGTGAAGTAATAGCTCTGTCAAAACAGTTGATCACTGGTGCGAATGCAGCAGACAGCTCCCATGGCCTGGGCTGCAGCCCTGCTGGGATGCGCTGCACAAGGGTCAGAACCCTTGCTCTCCTCCAGCCCCACTGCTGAGCCGGGGATGGGATAGGAAGACAAGTGGGAGCTGGGATCCCAAGCAGCACCCACTCTGGGGTACTGGGAGAGTGTATGTCAGTGGGGTGAGAGCAGCTCAGGGGCCCTGCTGCCAGCCTTCCTCCTGTCCCATGAATTAAACATTCTGGGAGGTAACACACACGACTGCGGCACAAAGCCAAATACCTGCTCTGGAGAGCTGGGCAGCACGATTACATGCTGGGAGGATGCAATGACTGGGGGCCAGCAGCAGGAGAGGTGCCATGCACAGTGGGGCACATATCAGGCACTGGGGGTCGGGCAGGTGTCCCGGAGCCCACACTGCCTGGGGGGATCATTAGCACCTGGATGGCTCTACCCCAGTTCAGGGATTCCAGCACCTGTGATGAGTTCTCCCATTGCGTGGGGCAGATATGTGGACTTCAGACATCCCTGCTGGGAGTTACTGGGAGACAGGCACATGCTGCTGTGGGTGGGAGGAACTGGGAGCATCCCACCCGCCTGCTACTGGAGCTGAGCTGGACGTCAGCAGAAGTCCAGCACTGAGCCCTTCAGTTCTCTCACCCTGTTCAGACTCAGCCTAAACCTAAAGATGGCCTGAAACCCAACCCTCATGCTAATGTCAACCCCAAAACCTCATGCAAACACTCCTGTATATGTGGACCTGAAACCTTAGCACTGATCCTAACCCTAACCTTAACGCTAAATCTGACACCAAATCTGACCTTAGCCATAACTGTGAGTCTCATGCTACCCAACCCTAACCCTAATCCCAACCATAAATCCTAACCTCGACCTTAACTCTAAATATAATCCTAACCCCAAACCTAGCTCTAGCCCTAACCCTAATGCTAACCTCAACCCTAACCCTAACTGTAATCCTAACCCTAATGCTGACCCTCACATTAAGCCTGGCCCTAATGTTAGTGCAATGCCAACCTGCACCCCAGCTCTAGGCTGCAGCAGAGCCCTGGTGTCCCCCTCTAAGGTCCAGCCTGGCTGAGCTCAGCAAAACCATGCTGAGGCTGGCAAGTCTGTGGTTCTGCCCAGCCGCCATCCTTAGCATCCCCAGCCCCACTGGAGAGCCAGACCCCAGCACCGATCCCAAATCCATCCCTTCTCATGGAGATTTTCCCACGGTTAGCAAACACTTGGGATTAGCCTCCTCCTGCAGCCCTGTGTGCTGCGACCCCCAGAGCCGTGGCTGGCAGTGGGAGACAATGAAAACTATTTGATTATTGCCAAAGAGAAGTAACTGCTTGGCTGGAGAAGAAAGAGTTAAAGAAGAAACAAAGTACAATCAAGCAGAGCAACCCAGCTGGCTGAAGAGGAGAGAGCATAAGATATCAAGACACCTGGCTGAGGAGGAGAGAGCATAAAGATAAGAGACTGGCTACGAGAAAGCAAGCAGTGTTAACAAACAAACTATAAGTCGGGAACTAAACATGATAAGCTACAAATAGAATGGTATAAAAGCTAGAGCAATAGGCTAAAAATAACTGTTGTTAGAATGGTATAAAAAGTTAGAGCAGTAGGCAATAAAGTGATTCACTGCATGAAGATGCTCTGGGTCTGTGCCTTCATCCCCTCAGCTGGCCATGGGGTGAGCCCGGCACCACCAGCACAGCAGCAAGTGCTGTAATAGCCACTGTCTGGCCCCAGCATCTGCTGGCCCTGTGACATGAAGGGTCCCAGAGCCTCTGATGTACGGAGATGGAAGGGAAGGGAAGGGAGAGTCTGGTGCCAGTGCCAAAGGGAAACTTTCATACAGCTTGGCCTCTGCCAGGGGAAAAACCAACAAACACCCAGGCACGTGCCATGGATAAATCCCGGCAAGCGCAGGAGCACAGCATTGCTGCAGCAACAGCATTTCATCTCATCCAGCCCCGGCATGATGCTCCTTGTCCTGTTGCCAGCCTGGCTGGCCATAGGTATCCTGCAGCTGCCCCTCAGCAGTGCCCAGGTAAGACTCCCCTGCCCCCCGCCAGTCCCCTTGCTGGCTGGGGGCTTCTCAGCACCCACTTTTGACACCCCAGAGCCCTGTCACCACTCCAGGGTGGAGGGTATGGCATGGCCACAGTGCCCATAGGGCTGGCCAGGGCTGGGGAGGGATGGTTGTGGGGCTTTTCCTCTGCTGCAGCAAGATGATGCTAAACCCACCCGGAGCTTCTGAGCTGCTTCTCAGCACCCAAGTGCTGGGTCAGAGGGGCTGAGGCTGGAGCAGACACAGGGGCAGCGGTAGGCATCGTGCTGCGATGGGGATGAAGGGGCTTTGCAGCCAAACAAACCCCAAAGATGCTGCTACCTGGGAGGGTCCCCCTGCGCTGTGGCAGGGTAGTGGTGGAGCCCAATGACAGGCATGTCCCTGTGTCCCCTCAGGAGTGCTTGAGCCAGCAGCAGGCGCTCAGTGCGGTGCAGCAAATGCAGAGGCTGCTGGCAGCACAGGAGGCTGCCCAACTGCACGGCATACTTGGCCTCCAGCAGCAGCTCCTTGTCCTTGTCCTCCAGACCCATCTCCAGAGGCCGGCCACCAAATGCAATGGTAACCCCAGCTTGGTCACCTCCATGGGTGTGACATCCCCATGGCACTGGCTCTGACCCTGGCATGCCCAGCAAGCAGCCTGGGCAAGGTACCCCCGGTCTTCGCTGGGGTTGGGGTTGGCTCCAGCTTGACAATTGTCCATCCTCACCCATGTCTGTCTGTCTGCAGAGACCTGTCTGCAGCCAGTGGTGCCCCTGAATGTACGGGTGCTGGGCTGGAGCATGCAGGTGGGCCATGACATTCACTTTGTCTGTGACGCTGGTTTCCAGCTGGTGGGCTCCGAGACACGCACATGCCGGCAGGACCACACGTGGAGTGGCACTCAGCCCTCCTGCAGAGGTGGAGTAGAGCTGGGTCTGGGTGCCACAGGCTCACCCCTGCCTGAGGGCTCCTCTGTCACCCCAAGCCATGGGATCCTATTGTTCTGCTCCCCTGACTGCAGGGAGAGCAGCCCAGAGGCTGCAGCAATGGGCAACAGGATGGAGCAAGGATGCACTTCTCCAGCTGGTGTTCATGAGCTCCTTCTTCATAGGTATTGATGACTGCTCCAGCAACCCGTGTGCCAACAGCGGGACCTGTGTGGGTGGCAACCAGAACTATACGTGACTCTGCCCCCAGGGCTGGTCAGGCCCCAGCTGCCAGAGCCCCATCTACTCCTGTAGGTGCTCAGGTTTGGGCTGCAGAGGATGGGAATGAATGCTTATGGTGACAGCACCTGGCCATGCTGCGCCCATCTCCCCCTTCCCAGGCAGCCTCCTGGGACCTCAGCCCCCAGCATGTCCCCATGATCCCTGTCCAGCAGTGATACCCACTTTCCCTGCAGCCTGGGTGGCACTGAGCACTGCCTCCTTCAGCTGCCAACCCCATTGTGCCGAGGGCCGCCTGGGCTCCCGGTGCTGCATCTGCGACCCCGGCTTCCAGATGCGAGACAGTGGCTTGTGCCACGGTAAAATAGGGATGAGGATGGTGGGGAGGTGGGAAAACCAGGGCTCGCCATGATGGGACCCCACTCTGTCCCCCTCCAGACGTGGATGAGTGCCAGCTCTTCCAGTCCATTCCCCAGACCCAGCTTTGCCTCCATGAGTGCCTCAACCTCCCTGGCTCCTACCGCTGCCTCTGCTCACCTGGTTACCTGCTCCATGCCGACTACAATGCCTGTGAAGGTAAGAGTGCTGGGAGCAGGGAGCATCCCACAGGACCATGTGGACAGCCCTGCTCATCCCATGTCACCATTGCAGATGTGAATGAGTGCACCGGCAAGCAGCACAACTGCACCCAGAGCAACGTCTGCATCAACACCTTTGGGGGCCATGGCTGTGTGCGCCCCAAGTGCCCCCCACCACGCCACAACACCAGCTGTGTCAAGACCTCTGCTTTGTGAGTACTGTGTGTGGCTCAAAGGCTGCATCATCACCCCTGGTGATGAGTCCTATGGTCCAGGGGACCGTATCGTGTGGCAAATTGCATGGCTATGGTTGGCATGCTCCCCATGGGTGGCAGGGGGTGCATATGGGAGCACTCCAATACATGGTAGCTTTATCCAAGATTCTGTCCCCCTGGCGTCCCAGCGTGGGTGGAATGGTACTGTTTCCCCTCTGCTGCACATCCATGCAGTGCTGTCAGCTGTCATTCAGCAAGCAACAAGCCTCTGGCCCCACTCATGCAGCTGAATTGCTTTGTGGCTGAGCACAAGCCGCTCAATCAGAGGAGCATTCTTGCTCCTGCACATAGAATCATAGAACAGTTTGGGTTGGACTAGGGCATCTAGTTCAGTCCCCCTGCAATGAGCAGGGACATCCTGCACAACTAAGCCTGGCCCCATCCCTGGCCTCCAGCCAGGACTGTGATACCCGTGGTCCCAGCCTCAGAGTGTGACCCAGACCTGCACCCCTGGAAGGCATGGCATTTACCTGACAGAGGCAGGGTGGGACAGAGATCTGATGCTGTGCACACTTGGATGTGGCTGTCTCAGGTTGCTCTGTCTAGCCTGTGGCATGGGCTAGGCTTATTGACAAGGATGCAGGCAGCTCCCTGACATCCAAAGCATGTCACTGAGTAGCAGTTCCCCTTCTCTCCTGGCAGTCAGTGTGAGAGGAACCCCTGCCCCATGGGGAGCCAAGCTTGCCACCTGCTCCAACTTCCATCTCCTTCCACTACCTGCCGCTCCAGGCCAACCACATTGTGCCCCATGTGCTCTTCAAGATGTCCACCACGTGCTTCGTGGGTGACAGCCTGCACTTTGCCATCACGGATGGCCGGGGCCAAGGTGTCTTTATTGTGTGGCGCTCTGACCGGCAGGCGGGAGAGCTGGTATTCACCAGCCCTGTGGTGGGACCAGCCACGCTGGAGGTGGAGCTGGAGATGAGCGAGTTCTCCCGCAAGGCCTTCCTGGGCAAGCACGTCTTCAAGGTCACAGCCTTTGTGTCCCCATATGGGTTTTGACCCCATTTGGGGGCGGGTGTGGGGCCAAGCCAGGGTTCAGCTCAACGGTCCCAGTTCTTGTTCCACTGGAGACATCTCTCTCCTGTAATGCTTGCTCAAGGCTGGTAGGGCAAAGCCACCACAGCAGAAACCTGTCACAAAGGCTGCCAGGAAAGCCCTGGGGGAAATGGGGGACCAGTCTGGAGATGCCTGCCTCTACCAGCCCCCCTTGCACACCGAGGGACTTGGCAGAGCAAGTCGGCAGCATGTACGTGGTCCAGCTCTTTGTATCCTCTAATAAACCTCTAACAAAAGCAAAGCGTCTGCA